CGCCCCTCAGCCCCCTGGGGGGTCAGCCCAACCATTTGTACAATTTTGAATCTCCACCACCTAGGGATGCTTCCAGGCAAATATGGTTGATATCCATCTCTTAGTTCCAGAGAAGAAGTCGCTTAAAGCAATATAGCCAAATTGCCCCCTTTTTGCCCCGCCCCTCAGCCCCCTGGGGGGTCAGCCCCACCATTTGTACAATTTTGATTCCCCACCACCTAAGGATGCTTCCAGTCAAATTTAGTAAAATTCCAATCAGTGGTTAAGAAGAAGAAGTCGTTTAAAGAAATTGTTGACGGACGGACGACGGACGACGGACGACGGACGGACGCCACGGTATGGCATAAGCTCACCTTGGTCCTTTGGACCAGGTGAGCTAATAATCAAACACCCATAGCAAGTTCCTCCTTAGCCATCGAACCAGTCATAATTCTGAGCAATACAAAATCACAGTTTACAAATACATCAAAGTTTGAAGATGCTGTCTTGATTTGACTTCCATTGATAAGTGCTTGTTTTCTGTCTGTAACTGATAACTTACCTCTTTTATCAGAAGGACGATGATAGGGGTGACACTGACTTGAATAGAGTTGATGCCATATAGTATACTTCTGTAGGCAAAAAACATTCAATCCATCATATACCAGTACACAATAAAATATTTTACCAACTTGAATCTTTTATCTTTCAAATATATTCATCTTATATATACTGAATTTGATATCACAAGATTTCTTACAGTTAGCAACTGACAGATTCATTTTTTTTTTATCTTGCATTGAAGGAAACATTAGCATTCAAGATATAAAATTGAAATAGACTTATTTACATAGTATATACAGTACACTTCAGGTGATTTGGTACTGAAACAGGGGTTTAAAGCCCCTCGGTGAAATCACCTGGGCAAAGTCGCGGGGGGACGCCCACCCCGAGCGTTGGGGATTAACTAGTCGACCGGCAGCTACATGTATGACCGTCAACACACCCTTGTTTCCCATCAGAATATTTGAGTATTAAGATTTAATAAAGTTGGCACTTACCTCTCCTCCAATTCATCAGCCGTCAACCCTTGGGTTTCATGGAAGTATGAACACATTGTGCTTTCATCATAGGCTCTGTCATAAATATAATTCATGGAAGTATGAACACAATGTGCTTTCATCATAACCTCTATCATAAATATAATACATGGAAGTATGAACACAATGTGCTTTCATCATAGGCTCTGTCATAAATATAATGCATGGAAGTATGAACACAATGTGCTTTCATCATAGCCTCCATCATAAATATAATACATGGAAGTATGAACACAATGTGCTTTCATCATAACCTCTGTCATAAATATAGTACATGGAAGTATGAACACAATGTGCTTTCATCATAGCCTCTGTCGTAGATAAAATTCATACATGGAAGTATGAACACAATGTGCTTTCATAATAACCTCCGTCATAATTATAATACATGGAAGTATGAACACATTGTGCTTTCATCATAGCCTCTGTCATAGATAAAATTCATACATGGAAGTATGAACACAATGTTTCTTTATCATAGGCTCTGTCATAAATATAAAACATGGAAGTATGAACACAATGTTTCTTTATCATAGCCTCTGTCATAAATATAATATTAATACATGGAAGTATGAACACAATGTGCTTTCATCATAGCCTCTGTCATAAATATAATACATGGAAGTATGAACACAATGTGCCTTCATCATAATCTCTGTCATAAATACAATATATTATTGTACATGAGCTGGATTTATGGGTTTAATGTACCAGATAAATATCATTTTCAATGCCTGCTTGTTTTAGAAAAGTGTTTGGACTCTCTACCTTAAGCTAAAACAAAACCATCACAGCAACTGATACATGATAACAGATGTACAGCATGATTAACCAGGTACAAACCGATCAGGATGATAATATATCATGGTGGCCGGGAACATAATTTTGCAATGACGCTTTTAGATTCTTATGTATCAATAGTTATTATGAATAACTGATATAAACAATTATTACTTGACTTTTCTGGACACTTGTTTATTCACGGAGTTATATGTCTACAATTTGACACATACAATGAAGGTGACTTTTAATTTTATCACAAATCAAAATCCACTTAAGAAAACGCATTTGATCTCATCGCTCTCCCTCAATATAGGAGGGAGACTCCCTCATTTTGAATACACACTACATTATACAATTATAGACTTTTGTGCTAGTGAATATGATGTGATATGAACCTGAAAAAGTTATATTGACCGAGGCAAATAATAATATAATAATATGTAATATCATTATAACTTTTATACTACAGTTGAAGCTTCTCAGCTAGTTTAGATGTCTCAGCTTAACCTGCTTTGAGACCTGTAGTTTATCTTAAGGATCCCTGCCCCACTGCTGTGGAAAACACTAAAAAATTCAATGGTAGTTTTTTCATATATAGAGTGACTTCCCCTAAAATTTGTTTTGGATGTTAGTTATAACTGTACTGCGACTAAATCAGGGTTCTACTGTTATCAAGGTCGCTTTGTTGGTTAGATCAGCAGTGTAATGAATGGAAGTCAAGGGTTCAATTCCATCCGGCTATGTTACATTGATACACTTGGAACATTGAATATTTTTGTTGATTATTTAATTTTTTTTTTTTTTAAGATCTGCAAGGTATGTTTTCCTTTTATAGAAATGATGTAGTCATGCATTAAAAGTTTCCAATGTAGAGTTACCATTTTGGCAGTGGTACAGGGATCCTTAAGGTATACGAGGGTCACAGATTTCAAGATGCTTTAAAGAATCACACATTGTCACTTACCTGAGTTTCTCAAAAGTCTGATGATGGCGGTTCCACAGGTACTTCACTTTCTTTACCGTGAAATATCGTATAATACTGTCATCGGTCTGAAATATTGAGAAAATACCTTGAAATATTGGTTCCTGACTGCTGTCAGTCCTTTACTATCTGTGCCTGTGTACAGCCCGACAACTTCTCATACATCTAAGTTATCACAAGTAAAAGATAAAAAGATCTGTCACCGAACAAGATTTCCATTGTCATGCATAGCAAGATATTTGTAAAAAGAAGAAAGTCCTTTAAATCACTTTAATTTAATGCACATACATTATTCCATAAACTATGCTTGTAGCTTTCATTCATGAATACTTGCAATGATACTATATTAACACTGATAGATGCTATCTTGTACAAAATTAGTGTTTTGTGGAAGATTTCAATTTGCAAATGAGTCTCCAAACAAATAAACATGATGAAAATTAATCAATCACAACAAAGAGGTTATTTACAGATTATTTAATATGCTGAAAAGCTTTTGTTAGGAAGTGTTTGTGTATTAGTAATATTGTGAGTCTGTTCGCTTCTTCTAACCAAAGATGAAAACAGTAAAATCGTTTAACAATGTCTCACCTTTAAGATTAATTAACCTCTACATGTAATTAACATGTAGTTAATTTGATAGAATTGTTCATATCAACACATAGAATTAAGTCCATATTTCAAATGTTACAGGTTCTTTATTCCGTATTTTTCCCTTTTCAAAGGAGACTTGAGGCATAAAAACAATATTCACTAACAGGTAAGTATAATCCCTTCGACATCAATAAGTAATACATGCATATACAGGTAATTCTGAGGAAATAACTAACAGCAGAACCCAAACAAACAATAGAAATTGTAGCTGTCACAAAAAACTTTTTTGTTTTAAATCCCGACAGAAATATGTAAAACAAGACAATAAAGCCAAACTAGGTGATGCATAATGATAACAGATAACAGGTGTGACATACATGTAGTGTAGGACTGGAAAGGAGAGCTTCCTCAACCTCCTTATCAGGGTCTGGATTCTATAAAAAAAAGTACAACACACGCAGGTAACAAATTAGCCACAAACACACACGATGGAGGGAGACAACCATCATAAGGTTATCAGGTCTGGACATTCAGCTGGTACAGACTTTGTGAACTATCAAAATAGAGTAGAATGACAGTCAAGGTCAGTTAATTAGATGTTAGAGAAGATGGTCAAGGTCAGTTAATAGATGTTAGAGAAGATGGTCAAATTCAATTTATTAGATGTTAGCGGATATATAGGTAGGCAGTCAAGATAGACAAAGAACAAAGAAACTGGAGAATAGAAAAAAGAATCAATGTCAAAATCAGCTAACTAGATAAAACAGGGTCAGATGAGGATCAGGGTCAAGTAATTATAACAATGGATGAAACTAGGAAGTGTCTAAGACATGAGTATCATTTTATGACAACTTTCTATAAATAAAAGTCTTGACCTTGACCTCTGAATTCCGAGACACCACCTCATTAAATATATTCTCATACTTGACCTTTGTACAAAGTATCAACTCAATCCTTTATGAAGTGGCTAGCTCAGCAAAGCAGAACTGGACATGACATGACATGATGGGGTAGGACACGATGGATAACACTACCTACCCCTTATAAAATAGCAGGTGCAAAAATAGACAGGCTGAAATGGCCAAAAGGGGTCAAAGACATGGTAATGGTAACAAGAAAAGGTAGGATAATAGATATGGGCAGGAATTGAGGTATGGATGTTAGATATGGGCCAAAGCTGAAGCAACAGATACATGGTATGGGCCAGAACAAAGGCAATAGAAAGAAGGTCTGGGCTAGAGGCAGGAGAACTGATAAAGGAATGGGCCACTGTGGGGGCATCCTTAAAACTCTGGGGAATACGTTCTTTTACATTCTATGCATTCCTCTAATAGTGATGGCAAAATTGAAAGCTCTGTTTATGCCACCTTGTGGATGATACAACTAGACTTGTTTGATCCTTGTACATCTAAAGAATTGCATGGTAGTGTAACAGTAAAATTGACAGACTGTGAGGTCAGGTATTGGTCCTCTGTAATCTTCCAAGTATAAGCCCAGTAACTGGTCTCCCCCCCCCCCCCCCCCCCCCNACACAGCTGACTGTAATCCAGAAGTGCAGAGAATGTAAGCGAGTAAAACCCCTGTAATTCTGATAATGCTTTGTGACAATGGCAATGAATGAAATGGCTATGGGCGACTGCAGGCAACAGAGACAATGTATGGACAAGAGGCATTGACTACAGGTATTGGGTATGAGGTAAGGGAGGGTACAAGTGGACCTGGTCGAGGTGAGGAGTTTGAATTAGGAAGAAGTTTGACAGCTGTAGACTGGGGAATGTTGCAGCTGGGAAAAAAGGTAAATCTGAACAAACACAATTTGAACGACATTCACATGCAGCAGGCATTTTGTCTATACCTAATCTCCTGACATAACATACATTCGTACAAAACAAGTACAACCATAAACTAGGTTGTACTTACAATTAAACATGTTTTATAATAGTCCTGATAGAAATTGATTAGAATATTGATAGCACACTAATTTATTTACACTTAGTAATTAAAATTCCTTTATTAAATGTACTACATGCATAAACAATCTGAGCGTGAGCTGGTGAACTAAGCTATTGGTCAAAATCTCCATGCAAACTGGGCACAATGCTTGGCTGCAAAAATCAGTCAAAACAAACTTCAAATGTTAAAATCAGTCAATCTCCAATTATTGCATAAAATTCTTTAAAACTCATTAATATGATGAGAAAAAATTATGTCTAATTAATACATAGCATTTGTTATAAAATATCTCTGAACTATTTTTAACTCAAAAGCAAAAACACATCTAGGCTTTGTGTCCATGCCATACTTACTGCTGCATCACGAACAGTTGTACAGGCTGGGTTGTTTCGTCGTCTTGGCTGGAAGGAAATTGATGGTGATAACTTCACCTCTTTGATTCTGTAACAAATATAATTCAGAAAAGAATGTTGAAGTTGTTGCAATCATAGAGTAATGAATGCAAATGGTAGTCACAGGGTGATGAATACAACTAGCATAGCTCTAAGCTGAGCTAAATCATGAATTGAAATTCTTACTCATTAGAATTGATAACAATCCACGTTACGTCAGTGCAGTGGAATCAGAAACTGCCATGGAAGTATGAACACAATACATATATAGTATATCCGAGAAAATTATATTATTGGTGAGGCACCCATTGACCAGGTAATGTAGTTCAGTTGGTAAGAGCGACAGTATATATAATGATCTGAGGTCCAGGGTTCCAATTCTGGTCAGTGGCACCTTTGTGTTTTTACACTTAGAACACTATTATTGATATGTAAGTTTTATTTCCCACAGAAATATATAAAAAAAAAAATCTTAATTGCAATTTGTAATCATAGGCACTTTAGGGTAAGTTCTATGAAAGAAACAGATTATTTATATGAATAATAGAAACATATACCTTTTTCAGTTAGCAATTGTTGAGCATTATATGTTACGTACCTGGTGCCATGCTTGGTTGTGAGGAGGACTTTAGACACGAACCACTGCTTGTACTGGTCCTACAAACCAATGATACAACTGTAAGGTACAGTATACAGTAAACTGTCACCATCTCAGGCAAAATTAGATCCACAATATCAGCATTCAAAAGTGCAAATTTGATTTGACTTGATCTGGATTCCTAGAGAAATACTATTAGGTGTTCTACAGTTAGCCTTTCTTTAAAACTGAAGCAAAATTAAGATAGTTTCATAATTTGTATATGAAGTGGAAATTTATTCAGGATGTTTATTTTTGTCTGAATAGTTTTTCTGTGTTACTGTACTATGTATACCAAGTGAATGTGGACATTTCATATCACAGTCCATTTCCATTTGGATTGTTTGTGCCAGGTTTTGCATACTCGCATAAAATATTTTGAAAAATACTCGCAGCAATAAACTGTTATAATGCTGACATATACATGTATACAGTATATGTGGGGTTTAATTTCATTATTTCAGTCCTGTGGCTAAAATGAAGAGGTATACGACACAAACACTGAAAAAGGATCAGATGCTACACGTACCAAACCAAAATGACCTGATATACGGATCACATGACAAAAAAAACACCCTTACATGGATCACATGACAAATAAATATCCTACATCGATCACATGATAAATATCCTACATCATGATCACATGACAAATAAACATACCTAAATGGATCACATGACAAATAGCCTACATGGATCACATGACAAATAAACTTCCTTCATGGATCACACATGATAAATATCCTACATGGATCACATGACAAATAAAAATCCTACATGGATCACATGACAAATAACCTTCCCTACATGGATCACATGACAAATAAATATCCTCCATGGATCACATGACAAATAAATATCCTACATCGATCACATGATAAATATCCTACATCATGATCACATGACAAATAAACATACCTAAATGGATCACATGACAGATATCCTACATGGATCACATGACAAATAAACATCCTACATGGATCACATGACAAATAAATATCCTCCATGGATCACATGACAAATAAATATCCTACATGGATCACATGACAAATAACTTTCCCTACATGGATCACATGATAAATATCCGACATGGATCACATGACAAATAAATATCCTACATGGATCACATGACAAATAAATATCCTACATGGATCACATGACAAATAAACATACCTAAATGGATCACATGACAAATATCCTACATGGATCACATGACAAATAAACTTCCTACATGGATCACACATGATAAATATCCTACATGGATCACATGACAAATAAATATCCTACATAGATCACATGACAAATAACCTTCCCTACATGGATCACATGATAAATATCCTACATGGATCACATGACAAATAAACATCCTACATGGATCACATGACAAATAAATATCCTACATGGATCACATGACAATTAAACATCCCTTACGGATCATAAACTCTAAGCACAGGATCTAGGACAAATCTGAACTCATTCACCCCTACTTATCTAAACTGGACTTGCCCACTCTTTGATTCGGTAAGGATCAAATTTGATTTTAGGGATGAAAGAGTTAATCAAGAGGCCCAGAACCCTGACTGGCTAACTAACTATAGTTTTACCTTATAAGCAATAGACAAGATTGATTTCAAAAACATATTTGATAAACTTGTTGTGTGAATGCATATATGTTTGTTTTGTATAAATGTGTTTTTAGCATTGATGATAAAACTTGCAATCTTCCCACTGCTTTTTAAATGTTATGAATATTTTTAGCAAAAATATTTGACTATAATAATTTACCAAAAGCCTTCTAATAATCACTTTCTTCCCTTCAACAAACTCTTATATTAGCAGGACCCTCCAGGTAAAGTTAAGCTAAAATCCCTATATCTGTAATAAGAAAATAGGATTTTGAAACATTAACATAAGATTCCCTTATATCATTGGACCCCCATCCTCTGCCCTAAAAGGAACCACAAGAACTCATAAAGAAACTGAAAAAAATCTTTTAACTCGTTTTCAAAGTGGCAGATTTTATAGATTCACATTTATATCTGCTGATGAGTCGACTTGTCCCCCTGTGTCCAGGTCCATACCCTCCATTTATACAATGTTGAGTCCCCCTGGCTCAAGATTACTCCCGACCATTTAAGGTGAAAATCCCTTTACCTATACATTGAGTTATTTGGAGGTGTTTATATTCTAGTTTATAGGGTGATTAAAGTATATATATCACAATGTTCAAAATATGCTGTTGCAAGATATATACATTGTACATATTTCGACAGCTAATCACTTATATTGCACCAAGTTTTAACTTCCACAGGCTGTATAAAACACAACCCAAGCAACACGTAGAATCAATATTTGAGAGATTAACACATTTGATACATATAATGCATTAATAAAGGAACGTGTCATCTTTTACAATGGTGTCAGATGGTATATAGAGTAAAATCACTGCTGCGTTGCTATCCTACATAATACTTAGATAAGTATATATGTGTGGCACTGTGCAGCCAGATGAAACAAAATACAATCTGTATATCTATGCAATCTAAAAACAACTCATACAATACTCATACTTGCTAAATGACCCGCATTCTGCGGTCACACCCGCAAAATGAACCTATCACCCGCGACGATCTTATGACCCGCGCGGGTCATACGTATCTCCCGCATTCCGTAAATATGACCCACAATCACCCGCATCCGTGTCTTTTATTTGGATCTCTGTACTTTCGGAAATGTTCCGTTCGTGTCTCTCGGAAGTTTAGCTTTCAGTTAAAGGTAAATAGCGTCCCTGAAAAAGTATGGCTGTAATTACAATGCTTCGTGGGAATAAGATTATGACTGGCTTCAGAAGAGTAATATTGGACCCGATCATACCTATTGTAAACTGTGTACCAATCATTTTTCGGTAGCTTTGGGTGCTACGTACGATATCAAAAGGCATGCAGTTAAAGAATCCTTTGAGAATGATCTTAGGTTTGGTGTGTTGTGTAGGCTAATGAAGGCATGTTTGGTACTTTCAGTGGGTAATGCTGACTCTGAGAGAACATTTTCCATGTTGAAGAAGATCCAGACAGAAGGGAGATCCGAATTAGGAAATGATACAATATGTGCTTTGTAATGTGCAAAACTAAATCAACATGGTTCATGCTTTCAGTATGCACCTAGGAAAAGAAAAACATGTATATTGATTAAGAATATGTAATAAAACAATGAAGGTGTGATAAAATGTTTTGTTTATTTCAAAAAAGTCATTGATCTTGCCAGCAGACAAAACATAATACTCCGTAAAGCAGAGACCCCGCGAAATTATTAAATTTCCACACAAATTTTCGTTCGCGCGTTATCGGGTACCCCCCACAGAATTTCCCAATGGGGGTCATGACCCCCATTGGGAGATTCAAAGGCTAGCAGGTCTGCATACTTAATCCTTCCATCCCTAGGTAACTTTAGTAGACTCTACCATGAATTTATGGGGATGAGTCCATTATGGTGAAAGGATTAATACACTTCTTATCAAGACTTAAGGTAAAGGGTACCATAAGGTTAAACAAGACAATGTGTTATTCAATGCAATCAGATCATTTACCTTCAAAGCGGGTCAGGTCAATTTATTTTAGCTCAATTAATGTAAATGAAGCTTAACACTAGAGAATAAGCTTATTACTCTCTATATATTATCTGAGTAAGTGAGTTTCTTAATGGTGAAACCCCAACATTTGACATACCAAAATATCCTTAATAATGATATAAGGCTCTGTGATCCCTATACTCATGAACAAGTATTGTGACATCATGATTCACTGCTTAAAATGGGAATTCAAGTTTACGATACTAATTTTTTATATAAAACAAGAGGCCTCATGGGCCTGCATCACTAACCTGATATAAACGTCATTTGTAACCTTAAAATTGGACTAAAATAAAGCTACAGGCAGAATAACAGTATCTATGACTCTATGTCATTCAAAAGAACCTGCTAAAAGATTTAATCACAGTTGACTCCTAGGCCTGTGACCATGAAAGTCTCACAAGGTCATTTAGTTGAACAAACTGTATAGCCCTTTATCTCAGCGTGCAACTTTCACCAAAATATCACCACCTTATGTTTTTTGGTTATACAGAAGAAGTTGTTCAACACATTTGACCCCTGTGACCTTGAATATGGATGAATATTATTCATTAAACAATCCTCACCATTTTTTATCTGAGCATGCAATTACTGGCCACATACCATAATCCTTGGCCTGATGGGTTATTCAGAAGATGTGGCATGTTTAACGTTATTTACATATTTGACCCCTGTGACCTTGAATATGTGTGAAAGTGCTTCATTTGAACAAACTTGTTAGCCCTTTATCACAGCATACTACTGGCCAAATATCATCGCCTTGGGATTTCAGTTATTCAGAAGAAATAGTTTGAAAGTATTTTAAGACAATTGACCCTGTGACCTTGAATAGAAGTCAAGGTCATTCATTTGAACACTCTTGGTAGACCTTCATCCCATCATGTTACTGGCTATATATCAACATCCTTGGCCTTTTGGTTATTCAGAAGAAGCCATTAAAAGTTTTTAATATATTTTACTGCTGTGACCTTGAATATAAGTGAAGGTCATTCACTTGAACACACTTGGTAGGCATTCATTCCAGCATGTTAATGGCCAAATATCATCACCCTAGACCTTTTGCTTATTCAGAAATAAAATGTTTAAAACATATTTGAATTTATTTTTAAAAGACAGATAACACTAAAACAATTGTTAATTTATCGGAGTTAATGAATATTTATTCATTTCAGACAAAAACTAGAGAATTTTGCACAAAACACAACATTGTGCTGTAATTTCATTGCCTAGTAACTGCAACTAACAAGAATTTAGAAATACAAATGTCATGTTAAACAATTTTTTGTACAAATTGTCATCACTTTTTGTGTTGTCTTTTTTACGGTTACAAAATATAACCTGAAAAAGTCTATTACTGGGGAAAAAGCCAGAATTCAATTATTGAAAATTAAC